TTTTCTTTTTCATTTTGCTCCGAACAATGTGTGTGTGCCCTTTTTACCAAAGCTCGAAAAGCAGAGACTTTGTAAGAGTAAGGGTCATGTGAGCTGTTATGTATAAATAGAGGTGTATATGACTCCTTACGGAACACACAGGTGGAAAGATGACCTTGCTCCATTTTGATGGTAATATCCAAAAAATGTACCGTTGTCTGACTCTCCTGTTCAACTTTCAATGACAGGCCATAGGGGTTATCGTTAAAATAGTTAAGTACAAAATCAATGTTAGGTACCTTATTCCATACGATGAGTACGTCATCGATGTACCTGACATACAATGCTATGTCCTTTTGAAATCTGGGTAATACGGTATTCTCGTGTTTTCTGATCACTAATTCACACAGTGTTCCTGATATTGGGCTGCCCATCGGCATGCCCCTTGTTTGTATGTAAGTGATCCCTTTGTATTCGAAGAAGGACGAGTGGACCATCAAGTGTGATAAATCCAACATATCAGGGAGATATTTATAAGAGCCTTCCACCTTTGCCAGAAGAAAATCTCTCAACTCACAGAAACAGGGTTCCAGTTTTATGGATGGGAACAATGTTTGATAGTCACATATTGTGAAATATGCCACCGATGACTCGTTGAGATCCCGTAATTTTTGAAGTACTTCTTCAGGATTAGTGACCGTATACGTATGATCCTCTAAATTGTTAGTGATGTATTTGTTAAGAATTCCCTCCATTTTAACAGTGGGAGAAGTCGTTTTATCCACCACGGCCTGTAACTGTTGTCTGCGCTTATGGGTTTTTGCGAATGCAAATATACGAGGTGGAGATGGCGCCATAACTCTCGTTGCCACCAGATTCAAGGTATTGGTGAGAGGCGTGTTGGAGATCTTCAACGTCTTGGCTGATATTTTCTCAAGAAAACCACTAGGCGCTACTGTGCATTCCGTGTCTGAGATATATTGTGTTATGGCATTTCTGTATGATTCCTTTTTCATGAGCACTACATGTTTTGATTTGTCTGCTCTTAAGGCAACAATGTCATTATCTCTCAACCATTTTCTAGATGTTCTTATATCCTTCCAGACCTCCCTAGACAACATATTCTCATGTGTATTGCGCATTGTTATTAAAGTTTTCCATCTGAAATATTCCTTAGTAGTGTGGTTTAGTCCTTCTATCAGTTTTTCGACATCAGGAATAGTTCTAGCGTTATTATATGGTAATTTAATTGATTTGGTACTTAACTATTTTAATGATAACCCCTATGGCCTGACATTGAAAGTTGAACAGGAGAGTCAGACAACTGTACACTTTTTGGATATTGCCATCAAAATGGAACAAGGTCAGCTTTCCACCTGTGTGTACCGTAAGAACTCATATTCACCTCTATTTATACATAACTGGTCACATGACCCTTACTCTTACAAAGTCTCTGCTTTTCGAGCGTTGGTAAAAAGGGTGCACACACATTGTTCGGAGCAAAATGAAAAGGAGAACGAATTGTCAAGGATCAAGACCCTTGCAACACAACATGGATACCCGTCCTCTTTGGTCAAGCATCTTGTAAAACAATACATAAATAGGAGGGAGAAAAATATGCCACAAGACGAACAAATGAGGGTTATCACATACAACAAAACACTTACTAATATATATAGAGAGATTGCAAGGACTACTAAAGCACACCTAGCATATTGATGCTCTCCTACGATCTTCTCTCTTACCAGAAATGATAAAAACCGTATAAAAGATTCTAACTCTCCAGGGGTTTATGTGGTTCCTCTTCAAGATCACCGAGTTGACCATGCTTTAACATACATTGGAGCTACCGCAAGAGGTCTCGCCACGAGGATGAAAGAACATGAATACTCTATAAGAAAAAAGCTGACCACAATGGCACTAGTGACATATGCAAATGATGATGATGTTCATGTTGATCTAAAAAACGCTAAATTACTACACAAAGTATCAGATAAGGCACAACTCAAGTACCTCGAATCGCTGGAGATATATAAGGCAATTAAAAAAGGGGTTGGTATTAATTTCAAAGAAACCGATATGCTTTCCGTAGCATGGCATGCCATGTTTGAATTGAATCCCAATGATTAAAACGCGCATTGAAGATATTTTAAATTACGGAGGATATTTAGTCATGATCTACGTGAAATCAATTGATTATTTATTCGGATATGTTTTAAATATTTTACATATTTTAATTTTAATGCATCATATTCGAATTATGTCGTTAAACGCAACTTTCAAAAACGTTCTATTCGACTAGCCGTTAGTTCGATATCGTCAATATCTGAGGATGTCTATTACATATAGACGAAAACGTTCGTAGAAAGAATTTTTCTGCTGGTTTATGAACTGGATATGGTTTATTTGGTGAGTCGGATATAATTAAAAATAAAATATGTTTCTCATTTTATTTACAAGTAAGCTAAAACAGTTTATGAGAAATGAGAAAATGTAACTTTTTAACTTCTCATTATATATTTAGTCTAATTCAGAATTTACAGTACATTAATGCTTGAACTAAATTTTGACTAATTATTTTAACTAATGATTATATCTAGCATCTTTCTAACATTAGGAGAGCAAGAGATAGTTTAATTAAAACAGTTGATATTACATGAAGTGACACCATAATTGGTATAAAAGGCAGTTGAACTAATTGTTTATAAGCCATTTATGTTTTTGCTTTATTTAATATGTATTTTAACAATTATATTGTCATCAGAATATACAAGCATCAAGTCAATTTTTTTAATATTTAAAAAACTGAATTATTTAAATAGTTCATTGTGGCTTTATGTTAAAAATATTTTCATTTGTATATACAGGCATACCTCGACTTACGTCGTTCCCGATTATACGTCGCTTGTTAAAAAAGTATATGGAAAAATAAAAATCAAGTTTAAGTCATTTTATTCGACTTTACGTCTGTCCGCCACAAATATTGAAGTCGTAATATCACTAGATAAACGTTTAAAGCACATAAAATCATATTAAAATATATACAAGTATGTACTGTATTTACAGTACACGCATTCGTAAATTTAGATTACTTTTTTTGTACTATATTAAAAACTAAAATTTATTTGTTTGTAAGCTTAAAATAGATTTTTATTAACCATATATTATTTAAAATGCTTTCCTAGTGATAAGTAGATTCGGAGACAGGTAAATTCAACTTACGTTGTTTTCCTGGAACCAATTAACGACGTAAGGCGAGGTATACCTGTATTTATGTAAATATTTTAAATATATAAGCCAAACAAGTAACTAACATTAAAGATTGAAATTATACAATTAGATGAGTACACAGAGAATCCATGAACAAAGATATCTTGGTCAATAATCAAGAATATAAAATACATAGTTTTATGATAATTGTAAATTATATATGTATATCTAGAAGCAAAGACTGGCTTGATCCTGACAGCATAATTTGGTAACTACCTACTTGGTTTGGAAGAATTATGGATTCTTATTGTTAAAAAAACTGTAAATATTTACATAAAAATTAAGATGTGTTCCTATTTATTTCAAATCCAAATTAATTAATTTGTCTGGAAAGGTTTTAAAGTTTTTTTTTTCTGTATTTTTAGTAATATACTGAATTCTGAATTATATAATATTTCAATTTAGGTATTTGTAAATGCTGTGGCTATATATCTAGTCAAGAGATATGCAAAGCTTGTGTTATGCTAGAAGGATTAAACAAAGGATTACCGAAGTATGTATTATAGAATTCATTATCTACTTGAATATTTTTTTCTTGTTATAAAATTTTTAATCCTAAAACTATTATTTTATAAATTTATCAAAATAATAAAGATGATTACATAATGTAATGCAATATAACAATAATTATCATCTTAGCATTTTTCTTATGGCAAATATTAAGGAACTAAAAAAAGATAATTAGTGTTATAGTTTAACAAGTTTTATTTTTATTCTTACCTATTTGTTGATATAAAATTAGATGTACCTGATACTTAAGATGAAAACATCTGTTACTGAACTTTACTAGAAAATAATTAATAAATATTTAATTTTGACATTAAAAATGCAATATTTTAGCAACCATTTTATCATGGTTGGATGGCCAAGGCAGTTAAATTAAGGTGTCAGACTTGTGCTTTGGAAAACTCAGGATTGAATTTGGCTGGTCAAAAAAATTCAGGAATTTTTCATGGGTTGTTGAGCCTTATCCTTCATCACACAGTCACTTTCATTGTGAGCATGGCTAAACCTATGATGAATATCAAAAAGGTCTTAGTGCCCTCATGACAGAAAGAGTTAAAACATACTTATAAGTATTGTTCTGTTTAAAACTTTAATGTATTGCTTAAAACAGATATTCATGATATTTTCAAAAATGTTTTAAATTCTTTATTCTTAGCTGCAAAACCTTATAACATTAATAAAAAAAGTCTAAATATATTGCTGTTCCAGATTATAGTAGGGAAGAAAAGAAATAGAATGCAAAAGCAAAATTATAAAAGTATTTGTAAATCAATTTCAACAAAGTGATATATTGAATAATGCTTTTTATTTAAATGATGAATTGTGAAATTAAAGTTTTTTAGTGTAATGTCCAGCATGTATTTTTCAAACAAACAAATATTTTTGGTTAACTTAATTGATCACACATTCAAAATAATTAATTTTACTAGAATTTAATACCTTTTTTGAATTTGGAACTTGAGGATGGATAATTAAGTTAGCTGAAAATATTCATTTGTGTGAAAAATACTGCTGTTGATTAAAGATTTAGTTTCACAGTTTTATTCTGTCCAGTTATTGCTTAAACTAATAAATTTGGTTTCCTAAAAATCAGGAATTCAGTCTAATACTCTGTCAGCTAAGCTTATCCAATCAAACAGAGAAAAATTTCATTTAAATAATGTAAATAAATAGATTACAGTGCAACACGATTCTATGCTATAAAAAAATCATTTAAATAAATTACCAAATCTAACTTCTAGGTTTAATTTGGATTAGTTGGCAATATATTAGTTTGATTACTTAAAAGTAAGAAAAAGAAAAATATTTAAATTAGTATCAATTGATATTTACTTAAATTGGTATATGTCTAGTAATGGATTATTTAGAAAGCTTCTAGGTTTTCACAATGTAACTTTTAAAATTTCAAATTAAGTTTATAGAAATTGGATTATTAGGAATTTAGAAGTTCATTCCATGTGATAAAAATAATTCACAACTGCTGTACAAAGTAACAAGCACATGCAATCAACCTTAAAATGCAGCAATAGTTTAATTACTAAAATGACCAAATATAAAGTTGAAATCATGTTGCTTAACATAAACTTTGAGAATAATAATGCAAACGTAAAAAGTTCATACCACATGATGACACAACAGATAAGTGAGATCATTTATAGACTAAGTTCTATGTACTCTGTGACATCCTAAATATATTTTTGCTGTTATTTGTATAGCTTGATATTTTTGTTGGAATTGCTGGTAAGCTGTAATGGAGGAAGCAATAAAAGAATGTTCCATTTAAATGGAATTCTTTGAGGAATTAGTGTTTAGAAAACAAAGCTAAAACACAAAATAATTTGCAAATGTAAACCTTGAAAAACTATGGTGCTAAATATAATTATCTTTCAGCCTGATGACCAAAACACACACAAATTTTTCATCATCCAACTGTCCCAGATATAAATAAATAAGCAATTACCTATAACCAGCATTAATTCTCTTATAAACAAATGTTTTTTCTGCCTTTAATGGTCATCATCAGGTTTCTATGCTTTGGAATGTTTGTAAAAGAACGCGTCTTCCAAAAATTTAAAAATTGCACTTCTTGAAGATACACGCATGCTCAATGTAGCTCTTTAAAAAATGAGTCTTCAAACTGGCTTCCTATTTTAAAAATTCTATGTTTATATAAATTATAAAGATAAACTTGATGGCAATCTATTTTACATCAAAATATGCCCTCCACGCAGCTGCCAGTGAGTCCATTTCTTTAAAATTGATGGCTGTTTCCCTCTTGAACACTTTAAATATCTTCAGCTGTTTTTTGATCCTTGTTTTAAGACAATGTGCAGTAGCACCAATATATTCGCCAAGACGGTTCATCCTATGATCGTAAATAGGGATAGAATATTATCCCTATTTACGATCATCTGGGATATTATTTCGATCCAATCGGTCCTTATTGTTTCTTAAACAAGAGAAAACTGTCGGAGATCTCCTGTAAGTGATCCTATTTCTTGTAAAGGGGACTATTTGTCTGTAGGTGTTGGTAGGTGAGGCATACACTTTTTCAATATAGACATTACATTACAACATGGCCGATTAAGAACTAAGGTATTCCATAAGACCTCATATGCTCCGCTCTTCATCCATGCAAAATCTCATAATCCTTTTGGTCACAAGATATCTACTTTTAGGGTCCTAGTAAGAAGGGCTTATGCCCACTGTTCGAATGCAGAAGATAGGAGAATGTAACTGGAGTATATTTCAAGTGTAGCCAGGCAGCATGGTTACCCAGCACACCTAATTAATGATCTGGTTGCATGTTGGGAACAAACACCAGAAATAGCACTCACGGGAGACAAGTCCTTTTTGACTATTACTTACAGCAAGATCCTTACCAACACCTACAGACAAATAGCCCACTTTACGAGAAATAGGATTGCTTACAGGAGATCTCCGACAGTTTTCTCTTGTTTAAGAAACAATAAGGACCAATTGGATCGAAATAATATCCCAGATGATCGTAAATAGGGATAATATTCTATCCCTATTTACGATCATAGGATGAACCGTCTTGGCGAATATATTGGTGCTACTGCACATTGTCTTAAAACAAGGATCAAAAAACAGCTGAAGATATTTAAAGTGTTCAAGAGGGAAACAGCCATCAATTTTAAAGAAATGGACTCACTGGCAGCTGCGTGGAGGGCATATTTTGATGTAAAATAGATTGCCATCAAGTTTATCTTTATAATTTATATAAACATAGAATTTTTAAAATAGGAAGCCAGTTTGAAGACTCATTTTTTGAAAGAGCTACATTGAGCATGCGTGTATCTTCAAAGACGTGCAATTTTAAAATTTTGGACGATATGTTCTTTTACAAACATTCCAAAGAATAGAAACCTGATGACAACCATTAAAGGCAGAAAAAACATTTGTTTATAAGAGAATTAATGCTGGTTATAGGTAATTGCTTATTTATTTATTGTATTCTACACCAGTAATATTGTGATGATTATATGTACCATATATGTTGGGTCTGATCCCTCACCACCTGACCTTCTCATGGGCATAGCTGAATCCATGATGATTATGGATAAAATACTTTAGTGTCAACAGAAAAAGAGTTTTAAAAAAAATCTATTAAAAAGTGTTTGTAATTGAGTCATCTTTATTTTTCATTGAATAATTCTTTTGATAGCTCTTGCTATTAACTATTAAAACTACATTAACTTTAAAAACTATTTAATGTGTATTTTTAAAAATTTGTATTGATTGATTATTGATATTTCTATTTCCAGACTTGGAATTGGGAAAAGTAGCAAAGTAAAGAAAAAGGTAAATACTTCAAGTACATTACTATTATGACCAAATATCTAAAAGCTGGGTTTCTTTAGGATATACAGTTGAACCTGTTTATCTCAAATCTCATGGAAACAAGAAAAATAAATAAGACATACTTGAACCTATAACCGATGTGAATCGAATAATCTTTCCACGACGAACGTTTTCATAGCCCCTTCTGGGCTCTTCTTCAGGTGAAACTGCTGGATTGAACACCAAAAACGAAATTTGAAAAATATGAATTCTGTTGAGTTTGAATCGTTCGGATCGCTGGTTTCGTCACGTGATATGTTTGAACGTGAACGAAGTTAACGATGAACGTCGAAATTCAAGAGAAAGATGATATTATGATACTTAAAAACGTGCGATTGAGATACACACTTATTCAATACTGTTCTTACATATTCCCCTGTACCTTCTGTTTTTATTTTTTATCTTATTTTAATATTAATAAACAGTATTTCGCTGTTACTCTTTATGTAGTAGGTTTTGCCATGCCATGGAAAGGCCGATTTCGTCTCTTGAATTAATACAAGTGGATGTATCGTATGCTCTAAAAATTTCCATCTCCTCCAACTATTTTAGATGGTGCATGTGCGGTGTGGTGACAATTATCTGCGCTCTATTGAAGTCCGCCACTATTTCGGGATCAGTGGCGTATGTGGAGAGTGAAGTTGTATGTCTGTTACGTTGTACATCCGAGATGTGCTCTTTTATCCTAACCCCTAATGAACGTTTAGTCGATCCTACGTATATCAAATCCCTGTTAAACCAATTATCTCTTAGAGGGATTGTATAGACTCCTGATAACTTCTCCACCCTGGATTGGTCCTTTTCGTTGAGTAGGATATCGAACAATGTGCTGCACCTTCTGTATGCTAGGGTAACTTTTCGTTCCTTTGCGATGGTGCTGTATAGAGGCCTCAATAGTGGGTTGAACATGATAGGTATCCTCCTATTTTCCGTAGTGTTGCTAGTGTTTTGCGTGATCCCTGTAGTGTTGGAAGAAGCCTGTGGTTGTTTATGGCCCTCCGAGATTTTTTGTATAATATTTCGGTAACCATGGGACCTGGCAATGCCTTCCAAGTATTTTAACTCTTCCTCTAGCGCTAGTTGTGTAGAAGAGTGCGTAAAAGCTCGTTTGACCAATGCCCTGAAGGCCGCCATCTTGTATTGGTAGGGATCACATGAGTTAAATGGTATGTATGCCGATAGACTAGACGGTTTGCGAAAAACAGATGTGCATATGATGGAATCTTCAAATTTTATATCTAAATCCAGGAAATGGACTCTGCTGTTACTATGCTGTTCCATCTCTAGTGTCAGTCCATACGGATTCTCGTTCATTTCTTCTATTAAACGGGTTCGGTTGGGAGTTGTCCTCCATAAGATGATGATGTCATCGACATATCTTTTGTAAAGGATAATGTCGTGGAGGAAATTAGGTAGTGTCCTGCTCTCCAATTGCCTAATGACTAGTTCACATAAATCCCCGGCAAGAAGCTGTACATAACATCCTTTCTCCACAACTTGAAGGATACCAATTTTCCATCACTAATACAGTGGATTTAATAAAGCAACTCAAGGATGTTAACTCTCCATGTTATGCTACAGTATTGGATTTTAGATCCTTATATCCTTCGATTGAACTTCCTCCATGCTTCTGCGCTCTAAGGGATTTTCTCTTTAATAAGAAGCATGGAGGAAGTTCAATCGAAGGATATAAGGATCTAAAATCCAATACTGTAGCATAACATGGAGAGTTAACATCCTTGAGTTGCTTTATTAAATCCACTGTATTAGTGATGGAAAATTGGTATCCTTCAAGTTGTGGAGAAAGGATGTTATGTACAGCTTCTTGCCGGGGATTTATGTGAACTAGTCATTAGGCAATTGGAGAGCAGGACACTACCTAATTTCCTCCACGACATTATCCTTTACAAAAGATATGTCGATGACATCATCATCTTATGGAGGACAACTCCCAACCGAACCCGTTTAATAGAAGAAATGAACGAGAATCCGTATGGACTGACACTAGAGATGGAACAGCATAGTAACAGCAGAGTCCATTTCCTGGATTTAGATATAAAATTTGAAGATTCCATCATATGCACATCTGTTTTTCGCAAACCGTCTAGTCTATCGGCATACATACCATTTAACTCATGTGATCCCTACCAATACAAGATGGCGGCCTTCAGGGCATTGGTCAAACGAGCTTTTACGCACTCTTCTACACAACTAGCGCTAGAGGAAGAGTTAAAATACTTGGAAGGCATTGCCAGGTCCCATGGTTACCGAAATATTATACAAAAAATCTCGGAGGGCCATAAACAACCACAGGCTTCTTCCAACACTACAGGGATCACGCAAAACACTAGCAACACTACGGAAAATAGGAGGATACCTATCATGTTCAACCCACTATTGAGGCCTCTATACAGCACCATCGCAAAGGAACGAAAAGTTACCCTAGCATACAGAAGGTGCAGCACATTGTTCGATATCCTACTCAACGAAAAGGACCAATCCAGGGTGGAGAAGTTATCAGGAGTCTATACAATCCCTCTAAGAGATAATTGGTTTAACAGGGATTTGATATACGTAGGATCGACTAAACGTTCATTAGGGGTTAGGATAAAAGAGCACATCTCGGATGTACAACGTAACAGACATACAACTTCACTCTCCACATACGCCACTGATCCCGAAATAGTGGCGGACTTCAATAGAGCGCAGATAATTGTCACCACACCGCACATGCACCATCTAAAATAGTTGGAGGAGATGGAAATTTTTAGAGCATACGATACATCCACTTGTATTAATTCAAGAGACGAAATCGGCCTTTCCATGGCATGGCAAAACCTACTACATAAAGAGTAACAGCGAAATACTGTTTATTAATATTAAAATAAGATAAAAAATAAAAACAGAAGGTACAGGGGAATATGTAAGAACAGTATTGAATAAGCGTGTATCTCAATCGCACGTTTTTAAGTATCATAATATCATCTTTCTCTTGAATTTCGACGTTCATCGTTAACTTCGTTCACATTCAAACATATCACGTGACGAAACCAGCGATCCGAACGATTCAAACTCGACAGAATTCATATTTTTCAAATTTCGTTTTTGGCGTTCAATCCAGCAGTTTCACCTGAAGAAGAGCCCAGAAGGGGCTATGAAAACGTTCGTCGTGGAAAGATTATTCGATTCACATCGGTTATAGGTTCAAGTATGTCTTATTTATTTTATACAATCCGGTGTGCAGTAGATGTTATATAACAACAAAAATATTTGAGATAGACAGATTTCAAGATATAGAACTTCCTACATAGTAAACTGTAAAAAGCTGGTACAGTATTAATACAATAGCAACTATAGACATACCTGTGATAGTCATAAATAAAACATTTTTTGACATACCTTAACAGGACTAGGTTGTCAATAGTTTCTAATGCCTGACTTTCTTCAACAAATAAAACACAAGCCAAACTTGTAGCCTTAGCCCACCAGTTGCCAAGTTAATAAAACCACTGACACTGGTAACTAATTGCAGGTTTGCACCTTGCTAACAGACTGATCAAGTGGAGTTTTCCAGGTTTCCTTCACTTTTGTAACATCTAAATGGAGGACAGTTTCTCATAGAAAGTCCATTCCCCCTTGGCAGATTACCCATGTGTTGCATTGTTGTAAACAAATAAATAAAATGAATCTTGTAACCAGTCAGAGAAAAACAGTATTAATTGCAACTATGTATTTTATTGCAAGAGATGTTTCTTAACTACAATTTATGCTGTCAAAATGTAGTCGCTGAACTTTGAATTTGTAATCAACACTTCAATCCATAATTTGAGATACAGTATAGAAATTTTGGGAGAAAATTATTTGAGATAAACAGAAAATGTATTGAATTTTGGCTGAAAATGCAGGAGAAAAAATAAATTTTGAGATAAATAGGTTTTCAAGATAAATATGTTTGAGATAGACAGGTTCAACCATATTTTAATTCAGCTTAGACTTTAATAGTTGAAACTATATAATTATATAGCCCAAAGAATCTGGCTTTTAGATAGTTGGTTGTTGTTGTTATTCACTTTTTAATTTATCATATTAATCTATATATACAAGGGTGAATCAAATATAAACGGGATTTTTGATCCTGAGCAACTAAGATTGGCAGTACAGGGCCTGCATGTCTAGTCTGATTGGGTAGAGTCATTAGGAGTGGGGAATGCTGGCTGTTTCATACTTTCAACCAATTTGTCAGTAGTGCTCACAGTGTCGGAGCAACAGGTACACCTCTCTGTTGTGCAATGCATAATCATACAATTTCTTGCTCGTGAAGGAGTCAACATGACAGAAATTTTTTGCAGATTGACTGCACAGTTTGGGGATCAAACACTGTCAAGGACTTGTGTGTTTGCCTGGCATAAAAAGTTCAAGGAAGGACGAACATGAGTGGAAAATCAGAAACACAATTGCTGTCCTCGGGCCAGCATCACAAGTGAAAACATTCGAGCGGTTCAAGACATTATTTGAAGCACAATCAATGCTGCTTACTATTGCGAGCTGTTGGATAAAGCTAAGGCTGCATATTGGTGCAAGAGAAGAAACCAACCGATTCGAGATGTCATTCTCCTCTATGACAACGCCAGGCCCCATACTGCAGATCTAACAGTCTCAAAACTTAACGAAATGCACTGGACTGCACTTAATCATCCTCTCTACAGCCCAGACCTATCGCCCTGCGATTTTCATTTGTTTGGGCCACTTAAAGAAGCTATAGGAGGGCAGTGATTTGAAGATGATGCAGGAGTAGAGGAATTCATGCGCAGTTGGCTCCTGATGCAACCAACTTCATTCTACGATACTGGAATAAGAAACTTCCTTCTTGCTGGGAAAAATGTATTTCTATAGCAAGAAGCTATGTAGAAAATAAATCATGTTTTTTTATTTTTTAATAAATAATTTTAAAACATAAAATA